CGACGATTCGAGTGCCCGCGAGTGCGCGCGCGCCCTAAGTTTATGTGTTACTCGATGAATTAGGTTTTGTAAAAATTGAAAAATCCTAATCGCAACACGGAGATGTTGTTGCCGGTGCGACTTCGAGCCCGCCGAGGTACGTGTGTGTCGCGGCTTAGGATTTATTTGAGCAGCAATTTGTATATCGAGTGGAAAGTGCACCGCGCGTTTTCCCCTCCCCCCGTTGTCAAGGCGTTCCTTCCTAAGATCTACACGCGGAACGCGATATTTGGTACGTAACGATTATTAGAGATCAGAGTGTAAAAGAAAGCTCGCGGCTCTCCAAGTCGCACCGACGACGTCAAGGATAGAAGGCGGTTGCGATGCGAAGAAAGCAAGTAAATCCGGAACGCAACTACGAAACGATCTGCCGATGCAGTTTCATGCGCGTATAATAAAAACACACGTAAGTAACTTACAGTCGTATCTCTTTTTTTGTTGTAACTTTAACGTATATAAAATAATCCTGTACAAATGTCTGAACTGGATAATTGATAGGAATACATCTTGCGAAGTTAATTATCTTTTACAAAGCAACCACTGCGTAGCGAAGCAAACATGTGTGACGCAATCTGGCGTTCAAAGAAGGAAAATTAAGAAGAGAGACCTCGGCGATTGAGTTTGGTGGAAGCACTGAATCCAGAGTTTTCCCACGTTCCCGGCCCTCGCCGTGTGCTTTCGGGCGCGAGACGGGAATATAAGAGACCCTCGATAACATTCCGATAAATCTACGTGAAAGCAAAACGCAAGTCGGCATCGTCTCGCTTTCTTCGCGGCGCCGCGCGCGCGAACTGTTTCCCCCTCCCCCTCTTTTAACATACAACTACGAATCCCATCTCACATACTTTGTAACTCGTTCGTTAACTTCCTCTCTTTCTTTTTTTCCCCTTTTTTTCTTTTTTTTTTCTTTTGTTTGGTCGCTTCTACAACATATATATCCATCGATTTAGGTATCTCGCTGTTGTACACCTCGCTCGCATACGAAATTCCCGCTCCCGTTCGCCGAACGGACACGCTTCCCTGCCTCTTCCACACTAAGCGCGATGCAAAATTACGATCGTAACGAATGCGTGTTTGGACGAAAGGAGTTTTATCCAATGAATAATCTAAATAGCGCCGGCCGTTAATTTGCGAACAGTTGTAAAAAGAAAAAAAAACACTTGGCAAAACTTGGCGACAACTTCACGACAGACAGAAACGATCAAGCACGGTGAGCCGGTTCTTCATACGTGGCCAAACAACTTTTTTTCTCAGCAGAAATTATGCATGTGAATATATGCATGAATGTATATTGATTCGCGTCAGAAGGAAAATCTTCGCGACAAACGATGCACCGCCGTCGTTTTTTTCCTTTCCTTTTAATTATCTATACAGTTGCTCGTAAATCGATCGGTACTTGGCTTTCCGTTTTTAGCCCGATAATGACCGCGGTTTATTTATGCGAATCATTATCAGGTTTCCGTCAAGGTCGCTAGCTCCCGCTTTACAATCCTTGCCGTCCGTCACGCTCCGAGTGTGAGTTCACAAGTACGGCTCTTCGTCCGAACGCGCACTCGTCATGATCGTAGAGCCCCACGAGAGAGAAAAAGAGAGAGAAAGAGAGAGAGAGAGGTCGAATCTCTCTCACGCGTACGAATTGTGACCCAACTAACGTACGTAGCGATGCGCATTGCGTACTTATCGTCGATCTTCATCCGCGCGAACAATGGCTTTAGCGAAGCTGCGGAGCGAGTCGCGAGGGCGTATTAAACGTTGAAAGGTGGCTCGCGCGCTCCGTTCGGCCGGTCCCGAAGTCAGTTTCCCGTTGCTCTTTCGCTCATCGCCCTCTGTTTGCACCAGTGCCCTTCGTCGTCGCGTGCACTCGATTGCAAGTTGCTCGAATAATTCACGATATCTCTGAACTCGTATTCCTTCCCCCCTTCTCCCGCTCGTCGTAATCATTCTCGCGCTGCTCTCAGACGCGAGCCTAAAACTTTAAAAGAGCTTGGGCAGTACGTAGGTGAAAGGTCCGTCGCTACCTTAATTTGGAACAACCTCGCGCAATGGTTCTAACAGTTGAAAGTTAAATTGAGAGACGATCGTGCGGTGTTGCAATACAATATTCCGATTTGTTGCCTCGGCGTCGTTAAAAATTACCCCCCAAGCGCTATGATTCGATGTGCGGTACGATGGAACAAAAGTTTATCTATTTATCTATTTATATCTCTTCAATTACCGAGACATTAAGTATTCTTTGACGCAGTATATCGCGCGTATATTGCTGGCAGTTCTCTTTTGCGTTGACGGCACCGCGACGCGTGTCGCGAGCGCGTTTATATGCGTTGGCTACGAGCGTGGCGTTTACGCGGCTTGATATGTAGTGCTGTCCGCGAAGAAGCGTTTAACAACTTTAGAATCGACACAGCCTGTTTTACTCGTGAAAGATTATTCGCTCCTAGAGCAACGGCTCCCCCTTTCGTTTCCTTCACCGTATAACCCTGCCGATTTTGATCTCTCTGCCCTCCCTCCTCCCCCCGGAGGACTGATGCCCGATCGCCCGAAGCTTCCTGAGACGTGCCTTAGTAAAGGAGACGAGAATTTCGGAGCAATTGTAATCGTAATAATTCTTATTGCGTTCTCGTGTAAATAGCTATCAACACTAACATTATACTTTGTTTCTCTTGGCCCTGTATATGATTTTTGTACGAGAGTTTCCAGACCGGAGTGATAGGCACTGTGTTTCCTTTATATTTTATTCTTTTTTTCTCAGTTTTACATTCAGTTTCTTTAAGTCCCTTCCCTTGCCTTCCCTTCTTGCTTCCTTTCCCTTCCTTTCCCTTTCCAAGCGCACCGTTCGCAACTCCGCCGAAAACGACGAGCAAACCGCCCTCGATCGTTTTTTCTCGACAGATAAATCGGAAAGAAAATCAAAAAGCTTGTTTTCGACGCGCATTAATCGGCACAGCGTGTTATGACGCCTCTCGCCTTCGCGTTGGTGAGAGAAAAAAAAAGAAAGGAAAGAGAAGGAAGTAGATAAGCAGAATTTGCGAGTGCGATAATTCACGCGGAGCAACCCGTTTGCTCGTCGATCAAAAATCAAACTTTTTTCCGGTTTTCATATGCGTTTTTAAGGATCGATCGTACTCCGCGCGCGTCGCGTCGGAGTCGTGCGCTCGTCTTTTCGCGCTGGTCAAGGAGTTGTTCGCCGAATCCTTTCCCTCTTTCACAATTGGCGCTAGCAAGTACAAGTAATAATGGTAATAGTAGCAATAGTATCGATAATGACAATAATGATAAAAATAATAATTATGACGATAATCGTAATTACAATAAAAGTAATAATAATAATCATAGATATTTATATATGTAACAATGTTAATACGAATAATAATAATAATAATAATAATAATAATAATAATAATAATAATAATAACATAAGATCTGCTACGTCGTAAAAAGCGCAGCACGTGAATCTTACAAAAAAGAAGTAGAAAAGAAAAAAAATCGGTTGGTAGTGAATTCGCTGGTATCGATGCGACTATCGATAATAATCCGTTTATGAACAATCGTCGAAAATTAACGCTACGCAAACGTAAAGGTAATATGGAGACTATGAGATCAAGTACATATTTGATATATCGATAACCGCGCGGGCAGCCGAGCGTGCAAGCTCGCTCCGATCTCGCTCGTCCGATGCCAACGCTGGATCTTAACCGCTGGATCTAGCGTCGGTCGTGCGCGCGATCGATCGGAGAGAAAACAGCTCGCGCTGTTATCCTCCCTGTGTGCTCGTTCCCGTTCCCGGAACGAAGCGACGCGCCTTCGCCTCCGCTCGACGATTTTTCTCCCCAATCTCACAAACGTAGCCCTTCCATCGCGAATTTCTCTTTTCCACCTCATTCCTTTTTTTTCTCTCTCCGAGGACACACCTCGGAGAAAGTAACATCTGATGAGGATATCTCGGGGATACCCAATACAATAATTATCTGAGCAAATTCTCTAAAAGTACATCTCGTCGCTTCGCGTCACGTCAGTCAGACTACACATCCATTCGATATCAACTCGGCGAAACGGCAAACTCTCGACGAGATACTCACGTGCGATCGATTGTAACTGGGCGTACGAATCGTTCTTCCATTTTGCTTATTTCAAATCATTATATTTGTCGAGGGAGTGCTTGGTGACCAATTCCTGCCGATCGCTTCGCTGTTCTTCGCGGGAGGACGCAACGACTATCGTCGACGTAGCGATATCTCGCGCATTATTCATTCTTCAACATCCATATCATTTTATCAATATATATATATATATATAATATATTATATACGTATATATTATATAATATATATTATACTATATATATATCTCTCCGTTAAAACAATGGACGCACAACATAAAATCGGTGTTCTTCCCGCATCTGTTTCATATTGCATTGAAACATGGTTCTTAAATCCTTGGAAATCCAGGATCATTTAAAGCAATCGACTAGCACGTCATGTTTCCTTCTTTCTTGTTTCCTGATCCATCAACGAAAACAATTTTATAACTTTACAACTTTAAAAAGCCCCCGGTTAATCTAAAATAGCTCTCTCTTTCTCTTTTATCGTTTCCATTGTATTACGTATCTTTACTTATGTATTGGGACAAATACAAATAAAAAGATAAAATAAAACCATGATTTTCGTTTTGACTTTTCGTTCTAATAACGTCTCAATTTGATAAAACATTAATAAATTTGCATTAAGTGTAATAATAATAAAAATCAAGGAAAGACACGCACAAGCCCTTTAACTCCAAAAGACGAAATAAGATGTAGCTTGAAAATTAAAATTTAATACAATATATTAATATTAGGTATTAATTAAATTTTAATTCAATTCATTTATATAATATATATAGTGTAATATATATAATTATATTACATTAATATATATTAATATAAATTATATTTATTAAAATTATATTAATATATGTATCATTAACTTTCACAATTTTTATATTAAATAAATTTTAATTTTAATTTTGCAGCTCTTTTAGATCATTTTAAAGTTGTAATTTTGACAGATTCGGAAAGAGCACCGATATTATGCAAAATACGTGCGTCGTTTGCACAATTGATGGAGATTTTACTTATACTTTAAGTATATATTATATTCTACTAAATACAGTTTCGATATATACAACAAAAAGCGGGCGGCTATAAGTCGCGCGAAGAAACTTGCTCCGCGAACATTCTTCATTCGCGTATTTCTTCATCATCAAATTATCATTTCGATTCGCCTACAAACCACGCGAGCTCAACCGCCCGCCCACGCTTATTTAACTTCATACAAAAGTATACTACAATACATATACAAAAAAAAAAAAAAGAAAACTCTGGATCCCGAAACCATCGCGCGCCGTGGCTATCGTTCGTCTTTTTCTTCTCGATCTTATGCCGCGCTCATGTTCGGAATATAAATAGTCAGCGATCGCTTGATCGGTTTAGAGCTCTAAAAATTTTGATTGGTTCGTAAGAAAAGTTCAATACCGTCAAAAGTATTAAGTTTCATGTGCGTCGCGGCAATCGTCATGTCAAAATCACACCCACGAAACGGGATCTATTAAATAAAATTTTAAATACATTAGATATTATAAACAGGTAGAAGACGGTGCGTCTCCCAATTCCACACCCAAACAATCGAGAATGTGGGGTATTGTTCATACCCAAACATCGAGAATGTGGGGATTTCCGAAACGAAAAGGAGACAACCAATAAAGGCCACGTAATGCTCTATTTGAATACATCTTAATGGCTTATTTACGCTAATTATCGCGAATTTTTTGTTACCCGCGAATATACTCGTTAATTCGTTAGAAACTGACTGCAAATCAAACAATCGCATCTCTTTTCCTCGAAAGGGACACATTCCGCCTCTCTGGATCTAACGACTGATCGGTTGCAGATTCGGTTGTACAAAACGCAAAACGCAATACGGAAAGCCACGACGCGCGACAGCCGAAGAAAACGCTCGTACACTCGAAGAGTAGTATCTACTCTGACGACAAGTAGAAAAGACGAAGACGTGCCATAGCGGATGATAATGCGTTCAGTCGAACTCGAGCGTGCGATCCGTGAAAAAGAATCGATAGCGATCGCGATGACGCGCGGTTATTCTCGCGCATCACATCGGCACGTCCGGTCGAGATCTTGAAATCGACCGGTTCGCGAAATACTCGCGGAACACGGCGGGCAAATTCCTTCCCTACTCGCGCAACGTGCTGAGGACAATTATTCGTAACGCTATTAGCAATCTCTGCGTGAAAAAAATGCTCGATACAAACCGATGATGCGCATTCTGTTTATCTTTGTTCTTCCTCCTCATTTTCTCTCTCGGCTTTTCAATAGCTGTTCCATTCTGTTGGAGCCGGGTCGTTGCTTGTATTGCCGAGTATGCTTGACATTGAGGACATGAGCTCCTCATTCGAGCGAGAAAATTCGAAGTCCATCTCGATGATATCCTCCATCTCGATGTCGGACGATAGCTCGGGTAACGATTGTTCAGGGATGTCACGAGGATCAAAGTTGTTCATGAGTTCCTCGAGCCTGACCGGGCGACCGATGTTGCCGATGAGGGCCTCATCGAGGGAGTCATCGAGGTTCATCCCCGCGGACCCTATCGTCGTCGTCATAGGAACGGACGACATAATGGACGATTGCGGCGTAAGCATCATCGGAGGGATGGCATTCATCATCATGGGCTCCCGCTTCACGTTGAAATTCGTCGTCTGTCGACCAGCGGAAACAGCGGAAGCCAATTGGAGACAAGGGCGATAGTCCATTCGCATCGTCGACGGCAAATCCAAGGAGGAAGCCAGACATATGTCCTTCGAGGCGAAACTGGTCTGATCCAATTCCATCTGCGGCTCCAACTTCGGTTCCAACAATGGTTCCTGCTTGATCTTGGTAGAAGCGACGTTGCAGGCCATAACGTTGTTGTTGGACGTGATGTTCTCGGGATTGTAGCTCTCGTCGTAGAAAGCGGACTCGGGCGAGTCCGGGGTGTCGCAGGTCGGACTGGTGGGCACCTTGGCGACAACCGTTGACGGCGCTGAGGTGTAATCGACATCAGAGTGCAGCATATGGCGCGTCGTCTCCAGAGGAGGCAACTCGATGGGTTTGGAGTTCGACCTGGACATCGATTTAACGCTCGATTGAGCCTGGAGCCTTTTCATCGGTTTCTTCAGCGTCTGCTGTTGATTGTTGTTATTATTATCGTTTCTGGTCCTTGCAACGTGACTAGCAGCGGGCGCCGCAATCGGCGACAGCGGTGACGAGGACGAGCTGGCTAATATCGAGGCTGGGCTGCTCGACGGCGTCGACAACATCGACGACGACGGTGATGGGGAAGGCGACAACGATATCGACGGCGATGGCAAAGATATGGACACCGATTTCCGCGATCTCTTCCTCTCCTTTGCCTTCGAGACCTCGACGGGTTTCGAGGTCTTTTTCCTGGGTCGGTACTTGTAATTTGGATACTCTGCCGCATGGAAATCCCTGAGTCGCTCGGCTTCCTCTTTGTAAGGCTTTTTATCCTCCTCTGATAATTGCTTCCACTTCTTCCCTAGTTTTTTACTGATTTCGGCATTATGCATATCCGGCTGAACCTCACAGATCTTCCTGCGCTCTATCTGCGACCAGACCATGAATGCGTTCATGGGTCTCTTGATGCGATTAGGACTGTTCTTCTTCGTCTGTAACAGATAAATCAGAAACGGGCATTCGTTTATTCCCTTTTCAACTCGTCACCCTAACTCAATTATTATTTTTAGGAAATTCTTATATTTAGCATATCTTCTCCCTCGACAATCGGTAATCCCGTAAAGATAATTTTCACAGTCGACATCGCGATAAATTGATGTAGGATTTATATCTCATTGTTAGATCAAGTCACAGAGTCTCGAAGTTTTGCCGAAAATATTGCCACGTCGAGAGAGAATCCTATGAGTCATAATATCGATACCCGTATATTTAACTCGACATCTGACCACGCGTGATTCTCAGCCTATGATACATCGAATTGACCGCGATCTTCGCATTAGACAAACACGACCCGGAATCGAACCAAGCCGCGTTCGATCGCGTTGAATGTGGGATGCGACGAATGCGGGTCGGCGTATCTTTTATTATTTTTTTTCTCTTTCCTCTCTTCGATCGAACGGCGGGGTAGAGCACTTATGTACGCGGAAAAAAAGACGAATGTACGGAGCGTAAGGTAAAACGAACCGGGAGAGACACGACACCCGGTAATAAAGCGAGCGGCTGCTCCCGTTTCGGCATAATTTCCGACATTACGCTACAAAGAAACGGGCGCGACACGGAAAGGCTCCTCGCCGCTCCTTGTCACGGAATCGAGGCCCCGAGGTTCGGCCGTCCCGTCGGTGCGTGCGTACGTGCGTGCACATGCACATGCGTGCGTGCCTGCGTATCGACACGTTATTCACAATTAGCCCGCAGCTGACGGAAGCGGGTGACCCAAGGCCGAGCTCGAGAGACACACTCGCATCTCAACTCGCCACACGGTGGCGGCCTTCGCGAGAACTTGACGGAGAGGCGAGCGATCGCGTGCGTGTACACCGCTCCGGGCTATATGCGCGTCGTTTCGTTGTGAGTACACGCACACACTCTTGCGCGCGCGCGCAAGACACGCATACGAGCAGCTCGACAGCTCCTGCGTGATAAACCGCGTAAAGACCGTATCACGCTAATCGCTCACCGAATGCTCTCTGGATTCGCGATTGCGCCGCGCGCGCAGATTGTTAGAAGATCGGATCGAGCTCCGAAATCTCGATTCGTCGGAATTCCGACCTCGTTGCGCGATGCGTCTCGCTGCGTTGACGCACACAATGACTTCATCTACGTTTACAGAGCGGTCTCCCGACGTGAATTTTCCCGACGTATACAATTGTGACTTAAAGAGGACGTGCCAAAGAAGTCTTTCATTCGTAAGAATATACTGCGAGAAGCATCGAGCCAATATAGTTCTTATTCTCGACACTATCAGTACCATAAACATAATATTAGTTGCATAATCCAATTAAATATAGATTATATCTCGATTTCTTTAAATAGAATGTGTGAAGAAGAAAAGCAGAAAAAAGAGAAGACAAGAAGCACTTCAATACTGTTTAAAATTCTATTCTTAGATATAATTAGATAATTTCATATCCATCACTAGATTAGTTGAACTAGCAATTAGAATAATTCAAATGTGATTAGAATAATACAACGTTTCATCTCCTCCTTTCGTTCCTCGCGAGACGTTTGAGAAACATTCGCGCAACCGCGTCGTTCCACGTTGATTAAAAAACACCGACAACGAACGCGATCAACATACGGAATGACGAACGGCGTTCCTCTTCCGCAATCGTGATCGCCGACGACGATAGAGATGGAGATCCATAGATCAAGTGTAGCTCGCCGACGCGCGGCGCGTCGTGCGTTATCGCTGGGAAAGGAACAGGAAGAGGAAAATAAGCCGTGCGTATTGTCCTTTTAGGTCGCGCGCGCGCAACGTCGAGTCGCGAATCGCGATTCGCGAGAATAGAAAAGAACGAACTCGGGGGGCCCCGCGGTAATGGGGTACACAGATGGGGCCCCGAGCCTCGGAGCTCAAGGATCGCTCGTCGCTGACGCACAGAGACAACGACGACGAACCGCTCTTGTAAATCACCTCGTCGCTTCCTAGTCGCGTGGCCGTGAAACACGGAATCGTCATTTGTGCCGCGAAACGTGAGAAAGTTTCAAATGGATATCGAGCCGCGGATATACCCCGCCATCGTCTGTCGGTTTCACGGCCGACCCGGACAATTCTCGTCGCGCCGACCGACGCAACGCGACGCGACGTTTCCCCGGAAGGTGCAGGCTCCGTTTGGTAATATTAGGCGCGTTAGAAACACACGACAATACTTTCCGGCGAAATAACTGAAAGAGTTTTCTAGAAACGCCAGGACGCGGATATATATCCTAAAACGTAGACTGAGAACAAGGGAAAGAGCGAATTGGAGATCCTTGCGATAAAAACTTAATTATTATTCAAAGACTTAAAAATATTTTATCTAGGTATTAGAAATATCTAAATATCTATATAATAATTTTATTTTAAATTTATTATGCAGATGTTTAAGGAGTGTCTAAAAATACCCATATAAAATCATAAACTATGAAATTTTACGATATACTTCCCCTCGATTTATATAGTGATGTAACGCGGATATCTTTAAACGATAAAAATAATATTCATTACGATACTTCTTTTACCTCGCTATCGCAATTATCCCAATTGACCGTATAAATATCTAGATGGTAATCTCTAATTGGTTAAATGGCCGATAACTATACGGCTGAACGGGCCGATCGTCAAGGCTGATTATTTCGGCCCGATGAATTACACGTCGTCATTCGCCGAAATTCGGCCGCGTTTCTCGCGCTCGCGAGAGATCCGATTTATGTAACCCCCGGTAGGGGGGACGGAGAACCTGCGGCACGTCTCGCGGAATATCTGGCACACAACACGTCGTATATATCGAGGCGGCCCGATCGTTTTGACGAGCTACACGCTGCAAAAATGAGAGAGATATCGCCGACCAGGCGGCGCGCGATCGGCGTAATGGATTCTCTCTCCTCTCAAGAGGCCGCAACGACGCCGCGCCGTGCCGCACCGTGCCGCGCCGGGCCCCGAACCCCGGGCCTTAATAAAACAAAAAGAAAAACCCATGCCGCCGCGATGGAGGTGAAGTCGTTGCGCTGCCCCCCCGGGGCCTCTCACCCTACCACCATCGGGGCCCGATAAATCATTATCCTCGCCGACCGGCTTTTACCTGCGACCCGTGAAAATCGCACGAACACGAAACCGCCAAATCGAGCGTGACCGTTGCTCGCGAGAGGATCAGCGTCGAAAGTGTATGGTTTCCGAGGGATGCGATGAGGTGGGTGGAGCCCCCCGTGTATATTCGGGACGGGGCTTGTGTAGCCCCGCCATATGTTCCGCTCGCGCTACAAAAGCGGTGCCATTAGAGCAGATATCTGGTCGCTACACGCTGGTATCTCGATAGATCGGAGAAAATAGTTTATGGACGGTTTTTACTAGCCTGAGCTTATATTGCCCGAATCTATCGCCTGCATCTTGCGTCTTAAGGGCCCGCCGGCACTCCTTGGAGATACAATAAAAGCGTTATACGCGTATCTACGGTAAATAGACGTTTATAGCGTTGAAGAAATAATTTCTACAGCTCACATGCATTCATTAATTTTACACGTGACGTATAACATAACATATGATTAAGTTTCAAGAATAACACGCGTGTTGCAAAGCAGTAAAAAAAAAACACATAGAAGACACATTATGCAGATCTTTATGCAGATCTTCTTTGAAAGACTGACGATCGTTAGATGTGCATGTTGTATTCTTGAGCAAAACTCGAGCGCCTTGCAAAATTCTAGCGTGAGTCCCGCGCGGGCGATTTAATCACAACGATATCGGGAGATAAATATATACCGGTTCTTGCAAAAGAGCGTGTACTCGCGCTCCCTCCTCGTATCGGCTAATTTCCCAGGCCGTCTCGCTCCGCGGACTTTCCACGAAAGAGCGGACCTTGGGCGCGACGTTGATGCACGCAGGGGGGGCCTACGAGGCGCGTTACGCAACGCGCGTGTAATTATCGAAACGCGAGCAGGGAGGATGAGGAATCGCGCCCGGGTTCTCTCGTCCGAGATACGAAAAAATCGCGCGCGCGCGCGAACGCAAGGGCACACCGCATTCTGATCCGCTCGCGATTTGCGTTGCTTATTAGACGGCGGTGTATGTTAATGCACGGCTAACGCCGTGCGTGTATTATACTTTCAGATGTCGACGGTCGACGTACCGGGATTTGCGCGGCGGAGATCGCGAGGCTGAATGTAGGTTACGAAGAGAGCCACGCGTCACCTTGCGCGCTCTGCGCCGCGCCGCGCCGCGTCGGACTCGCGATCCGATTCGCAATTTATATATATTCAGCGATTAGATCTGTGCCGTTAGACGCAAATTGGGGGACTCGGTCGGCCGGTTTTATAGCGTGCAAAAGAATTCGAGACCGTTGGCTTCGAGACTTTGTCGCTTCGGGAACCTTTCTCGCAGGCGTCAAGCTCGATTTGGCGTTATTGCGTGAGAGCAATATTTTTTTTACACTTATGATATAATTATATAGACATTAGAGACACACGTGTAGGCGAGTGGAAAAATACTGGTTCGCGTTAGGCTTGAGTAGTTCAGTGATGTGCAAAAACAGTCGCAAGCAAAAGGCTCTCTCCAGGTTCGGTTTGTTTGGAGTCATCAAAATAAAGTAAATTATAAAAATAGATAAAGTTGCGAGAGGGAAGAAAGAATACAGTAAGCAACATACATGTAAAAATATGGCTTTATTATAATTACAAACGTAATTATAATACAATATAATTATAATATAATATAATTATAATATAATATAATTATAACATAATATAATTATAACATTTTTATATGTTTGTGAAGCTATTTATGATATGTCTTTTAAAACGGAGATATATAGAGCGTGCTTTGGTAATTATAACCGCTGAAGTAATTATAGCAGGAGAATTCTCATACATTCTTCATCAATTTTCGCCGTTATCTTTCTTTAATGATCTTAAGTAATAATTTTTTTAAAAGTTTAAACGTGCATCGATAAACACGCCACGA